AATACCAGCAAAAATTTTTATCATTAACTCTCGATAACTTAAACCAAAACTATAACCTTACTGCGAACAAAATTCTGGCAATCCAAAACTTTATTTAAAAAAAAATCCTAACATATACGAATCAAAAAAGAAAAAAAAAAGGAAAAAAAGTGAACCAAGGACGAAAATACAAAAAATAAATAAAAATAATCTAAAACAACTTTTAGTGCTTATTCCAACTTCATATTATTTGTTATTAGCCTAGAATATATGTAGTTAAAGTTTCTTTATTAGTTAGATTACGAAGAATAATTTTTCACAAATAAAGACAACTTAAATTGCCAAGTTTTAACGATTTATTGTAACTATAGACTAAAACGTTCAAACATACCTCGCATCTAACTTCCGAAATATTTAATGGTTTACCGAATCACTTTGACAATATATAAGGCAAAGCTTGAACTTTCAAATTTTTTTTTGTCTTCACCCGATTCATATTCATGGCACCGGATCCATTCTTGTAAGACTATTATAAGATGATCTTCAAATTCAACCAATCATAATAAAGCCCGCTATGTTACCGAATAAAAGCTACCAAAATGTTGTGAGCTAAAATGAGAATGTAGGGTTTAATTTTACTATTAAAACATAACCTTTTTCAAATTCTTGAGTCCAAAACCGTGGGGGTAACTTTTATTAGGTAGTATAAATACGATTGTGTAAATGATTTACCAATCAGAAGCAGCCATCTAAGGTCTATCATTATTTGTTTTACATTTATTGATATTCTGATACGTATTTAAGGCAATAAAATGAAAACCTTATCGTTATTATAATCAGAAATTCAATCCAATAAAAAAGGTAGTGCGTTTATAATAGATATCCGTTTTTATTGGTTGTCAGATTCCTAATATTTGTTTCCAAAACTTAATCTCACGTTGTCAGAATTGCTTTTAGAGTTTAATCATGAATATTTGTTGTCAATTTGTCCCAATGTCTATAATGATAATCATAACGTCGGGATAATAGTGACTTTTTTATTAAAATGTTTATAAATGATTGTGCTTATACAGTATGTAATAGCTGGTTTTAAAATACAATTACTATATCTTTTAAATCGATCTAGACTCCTAAATCAATTTTTTTTGATCGAGAAGTTTTGGGCTGATTATAAATATATTGTGTAACGATCTTTTTTCATAATAGCGTATCGGTATGTATATGTATAGCAACCATGCTTATTTGAAACATAATATGTTAATATTTTGATATTAAAAAGTGTTAACGTCAAATAAATGTATACCTTCGTTTGATATTGAAATTACTAAAACGCGAGGAAAGTTCAAGGGTAATACCAAAATTGGTTTTGTATAACTTACCATAAAAATCCAAAGTTGGTTTTACAAAGGGCTAGTACATACGTTTGCTTTCTTATTTATATTATTATTGTTTATTATATGTTCTCATAAAAGACGACCTTCAGTGCAATTCCACTTGTTCATCTCGAGTTCTCATTCAAAAAGAAAAAAAAATAAACGATCTAAGAATTAGATTCAAAATGTTTGGCATACCTTTAAAGTATGTCAGTCTGATCATTCTTTGCATCCAGAATAGCACACTAGTAATTGTGATGCGCTATTCGCGGATGGTTCCTGAAAGTGAACTATATTCCACTTCTACAGCAGTGTTTTTATCAGAGTTGACAAAACTTGTCATTTGTATCTACATGGCCGTCCGCTCTCAAGTAATTGAAACTGGAAACTGTAAGGCTTCTGATCTTTATGACCAAGTTTTTACTCCCGATGCGTGGAAACTAATGATACCGGCTGCCTTATATACGGTCCAAAACAATTTACAGTATATTGCTGTCAGTACGTTAGATGCGGCTACATTTCAGGTCACATATCAGCTTAAAATTTTAACAACGGCAATTTGTTCAGTTCTTATGCTCAAAACTATTTTGAGTCCGATTAAATGGTTTTCGTTAGTCTTGTTGACTTGTGGTGTTGCATTAGTTCAATTAAAGATTGGAGGAGGCGATTCATCACATAATAAAGTTATGCAAACAAGCCAAAACCTCGAGAAAGAGTCATACGACGATGGTGCAAAAAAAATTGTAGGTCTATGCGCTGTTACAGTGGCATGTATAATTTCAGGATTAGCTGGTGTATATTTTGAGAAAGTTCTGAAAGGTTCTCAACCCTCTATATGGATTCGAAACCTCCAACTTTCATTTTTCTCTCTCTTTCCTGCCTTGATCTTGGGAGTATGGTGGAAAGATGGGTCTGCTGTATGGGAAAAGGGTTTCTTTTTTGGATATAACCTTACTGTAATTGGTGCTATTGCATGTCAAGCTATTGGTGGTATTATTGTGGCTCTGGTTGTCAAATACGCAGATAATATTCTTAAAGGTTTCGCTACTTCAATTTCTATTATTCTTTCTTTCATCGCTTCCGTTTATCTTTTTAATTTCCCAGTTACTGTAACTTTCTTGATTGGTTCTGCTATGGTGTTAATCGCAACATATATGTATAGTAAACCTGATAAGCCTGATTCTCAAAAAAAAGATTATCATCCTATTGAAGAAGAGGAAGATATTGGTAACGACTATTCCATGAATGAAAAGGTGGACATTACTAACAATGGATACGTTAAAGTTAGTGGAAAAGATTAAGTTAATATATAATAAGAAAAACCACTGGTCATATACAAAACCATTACAAATTATCACATACTCCATCATTTCAAATTTCTCCATTTATATATAGAATTATTCATATATATAGATTGGATTTATTATCATTTATGTTTTTTTATTGTAGATTTAGTGAATCTCGAGCATTAACAGCTCGTTGTTTTTACTATATAATAATTTTGCCTAAGGCATGATATTTCATTCACCAAAATGATTGAATTTTGTGCATTTTTTATAAAAATAAATTATGCGACTGATCATTGATAAGTAGTGATGTTTTCTATAAAATATATAGAATCAACATTCTTATCATCTACTTAACAAATGATCACAAAATCTATATAACGATTGAATAATCTCATTGATATAAATAAGTTAAGATTACAAATATCTCTAATTACTTTCATCTGTGATAGCATTCTGTTTGGGGATTGCCACCTTTTCCAAAACATTAAGCACGCCAACATTCTTCACAAATTCTAATTCTTCCTCATTTCGCGTGAGTAGCATTCCCGCAAACCCTAAAGAGTTCACTGATATCTGCTCATACTTTTCCCTGCTCCTAGGTACGATCATTAACCATGTATGAGTCATAATTAAATTGTAAGACAAAGGATTGTGACCTATCGAGAAAGATTGTTTATGTAAACCCTCGATCATAGTGTCAAGCAATGAATAAAATACATCGTTCAGATATTGGCTCACTTCTCCATGATGTCCACTCAATCGTTGTGGATCGAGAAGTGATATATGATGAACATACGGCAATTCAGGAATGTCAAAAATTTCGCCTGGTAGAAAAACAAATGATTAAAAATATTTATACACATGAATATTCTATAAAAAAAACATACCTGGCTTTTTAAATGCTTGAACCTCATAAATGCAAGCATTAATAGGAGGTGTAAATCGTACATCGTTTGGTAAAGGAATTAATTGAATATGTTTATGTGGTTGGCTTTCATGAATAATGGATCATATATGATTAAGTTTAAATCACATAAAGAATCACAAATAAATTATATAATTGTTATCATACCTTGCACCCGAAAGCTCACCGCAATTAAAGAATGCAAGTGATGGTTGACTTTTAATTTGCATCATAAAATGCCATATACTTTCTAGATCTTCTGGATTAAGAGGATCCGTTTGTTTTTCAAAGTCTATTATCGAAATATGATTAATAAGAAATCGGTTATTAACATTCAAATAATCGGGAGAAAATGATTAATAAAAAAATCACCCTTAGTAGCGATTATTAAATGATGGGGAACAACACAAAACTTATTTAATAATATATTATATTTTCCGTGTTCTTGCACAAATAAATCTTGGTTATAGGGTAAAAAAGGGTCTGCCTTAGGTTTCTGCTGCAGTTCATCTTTTGTCCTTAAATTACCGGTAGGTTTCTTAGCCAAACTAGGTGCAAGTCGAATTTCAAACTGAAATTTGAAAAAGCAATTCAATCTTGAGCTTCAAAAATATTATATAGTAAGGGATCCTGTGAAATACCTCGATTCCTTTATCTTTTATATGAGTAACTTTACTTTCTATAAAGCTCAGTTCACCACGCTGAAGTGCCCGATTGTACTTTTCGGCAACACGTTCTTCAAAATGCGTTTGCATCTTTAAAATCTTGTTGCTACGTAATATATTTTCTTAATATAGATTGCAAGATTTTCTTATCGATGATCTATTTATTACTAGCCAATGGCCATTTACCAGATTACAGATCTCGCATTTTCTTGAGAGACGAGAAAACGGTAATTCTCAGACTTTAAAGACATTCTTTATAATATCCAAGATCGATTCATTTTATCCTTTTATTATACATTATCATAGTGTTAATTAGACAATAATGAAGTTGCCACACTCCAGTAAACTTAATCGTGCCACAGGGCATCGTATGGCCATGTTGAGGAACATGGTTTCTTCTTTAATTGAGCATGAAAGAATCAAAACTACTTTAGCTAAGGCTAAAGAAGCACGAAAACTAGCCGATAAGGTGAATAATTTACAAATGACTTTACGTAAAATTGAAGTCCAACATTTCAACATTAACCAACAGAGTACATTTTTTTAATTTTAAAAATTTACTCAATATGCAATTTGGTTGTTCTGAACTTTTATAGATGGTAACACTGTCAAAGAGGGGAGATACTCAAGCGAAACTTCAAGCACGAAGTTTTCTTCGGGCATGTATAAAAATTGAATCTTGAACGGTTGATGTTAAAAATTACACACATCACATGATGCGCATGATATACTTCTAGGGATGCGAGCTATACCGATTGGTATAATTTATAATAGTATAATACCAGTATTTATACACATGGGTATAGGTATAATACCAATAATAAAAATGGGTTGGCCAATTAAATTGCTTTATCTGCAATTCCGAAAGTTTTAATTCCTAAAAATTCCGAATCGTATTAAGCTGAGATCATAATATCATAATAGTGTTATACCATGCTATATATACCGTATTATACAGTATTATACCTGGTATTATACTGCCATTTCTATTATACCGCATCCCTATATACTTCTCACAAAAAGTACATGCGTCATTATTGTCATTTTCGAAAGGCATGGTCACGTGAAAGTCGAAAATGACGATAATAATGGGTAACTTTGAATCCTGCCTAAATCCGGTTGGTACGTTGACTGATCATCGTTTTGTTTATAGGAACATTTTAAAACAATTCCTAAACTCTTTGGTGAGATGGCAGATCGTTATCGCGAAAGAAACGGAGGTTACACGCGAATTCACCGAATAGGCAATCGTGTTTCTGATAATGCACCTATGGCAGTTTTAGAATATGTTGACGCACCAGGAGATTTAAAATATGAAATGTTAATAAAACAACTTGCACGAAGAGAACTTGACCCATCTCTGAAGGTTCCGACCACATTTAATGACGAGGGAGTATCACCATTGAGAAAGAAGCGCGAATTCAAAAGATGGTTAGACAGACTTAAGGCACAAAGAAAATTCGAAAAACAAGTGGAAAAAATGATGAATTGTAAGAAAATGACGCCAAAAGATTTGGATAGTGCAATCTTGCAAGAAATTCGTAATCTTAAAATTGCTGATGAACGTAAAGAAGATATGAGGATTAAATACAAGTTGAGAATGAAAGGTGGTCATCTGTCTTATGAAAATATGCGTTAAATATTATGCTTACATTAACGGAAAATCCTTGGAGTTTAATTCGCGGAAAAACATAAATACGTTAAAGTTATTTTTTTTGTTAGAAAAAATAAATAAACAGTAAATATGCATTGACCTATACCTGAATAAATACTGGAATTCTCCTTCTTGCTATTACTCTAGTTAATTTGAAATTATATATCATAGTTCTAATATAGTTCTTAAAAATAGTTATTCAAACCTAAACTGAGGGATCAATTTTATGATTATCTATAATTTGATAATATTTGCCATCAATTTTTTCTATTCCTGCAGGGGTAAAAAAGAGTGCAGATTTTTTGTGTAAATGCATGCATTTTATAAAAAAGTGGCCTCCCAATCGTAAACCATATTAGGATAGGTATTGACGTCAAGCAACTACACGATTGTTTTCTTTGTATAGATCCAAAAAGTTAGTACAACTTTGGTTAGTTAGCAATTAACTCAAATTTGGACACTATGATTATTATGAACTTTCGATCAACTCACCCTTCACATAAAAGGTTGGATTTATTATATTTATTATTCATGTTTAAAAAGACGTGATATTTACAAAGTTTTCATATACTACATAAAGAGATAAACATGTATTATTCAAATTTTTGCTAAGAATATCATGATATGCTTTTTTTTTTTACGCGTACATAAGTGTGACGAACAATGTTAATTATAATAATTCAGATAATTCGGTAAATCAAACATACCGTTGCCAAATAAATCGGCATTGAACTGCTCCTTATTGATTATGGCACTAGGTCCTCAGATTGTTCCCGAACTTCGATTTTTTCCGGAAGCGTGTTAATGTACATAAAATGAATAAATGCTATGTAATCAAAATTAAACAAAACATTCTCCGTCTTTTGGTTTTGAATAAAAAGGTCTGGTACTTGATCATGACTGGCACCCAACTATTATAGGAAATTGAACTTGACCACTTTCGGTGAACATACTTTCGATTTGACCTTTTAATTGTTTGTAACAGATGACTATTGGATAATGTTATGCAACATTCTGGTGACCGCACTTTTATATTAATAAATAGTGTGTCAAATGCCAATTTATCTTTTGAACTTGACGTATCGTATATCGCATATATCATGTTATTTAATAATAGACAAACTGAGAGACTAACTTGTTCGAGACAAAAAGACCCTGCCATACATATTACGAACTTCCGAACCCCGATTATTATATGAGGGGTTTTTTACGCCCCGCTAAACTCCCACCAACCATGGATAAGAAAAAAAAAAAAATGTAGTCATCATAAAAATGCCTCAAGTGGAATTCATATAAATTTCTTTCTCATAAATTTTTTTTGATAATTTTGTATATTAAATTTGGAGTAATTGTCTTTTTTCCTATTCTTTCCTTAATTTTTTCCTTTTCTTTCCTTTTTTCTCGTTTTGCCTTATATATTTCTTTTACTTTATTATTCTTGGTGATAACTTTGATAATTTCTAATGTCTACGGACCACGACGCGATTGCTAGTTTATGCTCACTTCGTTTTTTTGGAGCAAATAACCAAGTTCCCACTTTTAACGTGGTAACTCATTTCTTTTGTAGTCAATAAATATTTCTTAACCTTTACGGTACGATTTTAGCCCTATTGCATAACCTAACTTTTCGTACGCATATCGATTTATTCTTTACAATCCAGATGGACAACTTTTATGCTCAACTTACTCCTATGAAATTTCCTTCTGCTAAAGAAGCCGCCTCATTTTGTAGGCAGTTGGCACGAGAGTATGGATTTACAGTAAAACAGGAAACTAGTTCTAATAAGGTTGGTTTATTTCGTCGATGTTCATTAATAGAATTAATCCTCATGTTAGTCTGCACTGTAACTTCGATGCGCCTAGTATATAGCTATGATAAATTTATATGTACATACTAAACATACCCTTTCATATGCTATGATGAATAAAAAAAAAAACTTAAAAATGACTTTTAAAAACATTGTAATGACGATGATTACTTTTGCAATGGATTTATATTGTGTCTTGTTTTATTTATTTTATTTAATACTTTGATATGTCATCGCACAGACCACATAAGTTTAATTTCTTTGATCACCCTTTTTACGTTACACGAATGAAAATTTTAATCCCTTTTTTTTTTTCTCTTTTTTTTTTTTTTTTTCTTTTTTTTTTTTTTCCTAGAATGTATACGTGTACTGTTCTCGTGAAGGTATTTCTGAAAGTGTGAAAATTGGTAGAGAGACAAAAAGAAAACGAGCATCCCTTCGTTGTGATTGTAAATGGAGAGTGGTTCTATTTAGAAATGAACAAGGTAATCAATGGGAATTTCGAAAGTCGGTAAACCCGCAGCATTCGGAACATAATCATGACCTGATTCCCCCGGAACATATTCCCGAACCATGGCCTCCAAATGTTCTGCAACGAATTGCTGATCTTGCAAATTCTGGACTATCAACTGGAGACATAAGAAATACGATGCAAATGGAATTTCCGAATTTATTATGGGATGAAAGGAGGTTTTATAATCGTCTGGCTGAAGAAAGGTATTTTCATATACACTAAACAGTTTATATAGACGCATGCTACAAAACTTCGTCTCATTAAACAATTAAATTATAATTAGGAAAAAATTGAAAATAAGAGACACGGAACAACGCGTCATTGATACAATAGTCCTGGCGGCTCAGCTTGCCTCTTTGGCGTGTTCAAATAAAGAATATACAGATAAAGTTCACACTGTTCTTCACAAGGCATTTGAAGATATCTGCAGAAGTGCTAAAATTGATCCATCATCTGTTTTTAACGACAATTTATCGACATATGGTGATATGACAGTAATCACGCCATCTATGTCATCAAGTGCAGATATCATATGTACTTACCCAGCAGGAATAATAACTGTTAAAAATATTCCTGGGCAAAAAGGAAGACCTTCAAAAAAGAATTTGCATCAATTACCACCTAACCAGTCAATCCCACCACAGGCTCAATGTCAGCTCGATCAAATAAATAATATAACTCCTCAAAATATATTGACACCACCCAATGAACATTCACCACAATTAACACAGCAACAAATTAATTTGTCCTTACACCCACAAAATGAGTCATCACCTCAATCACATCAAAATGGACCGTTGTCATCTCAATTACACCAACAAAGTGGTTTACAACTTCAAAATGATTTGACCTTTCCTCGACTACAAAATACCAAAGATTTAATGTTATCACAATTAAACGCTCAAAATGTATTAATGTCTCCACATATGCAGAATTCAACACTTTTAACACCGCAAACTCAATCGCGGATTCAAATTCTGTCACAATCATATTTTCATTCTCAATCTCAAGAAGCCGTTGCACAAGAAAATCAGAATCCGCATTCATCACAAACACTTTCTTCGCAACCACAATCTCAACTTATTCCACAATTCTTTCCGTACCCGCGGTCACGACCTCCACCACAGGATATATCAAATGGGTCACCACAACAGATGAATTTGCAGTCACAGCAAGACTATTCAAACCAGCAAATTCCTCAGGTGGACCAGTCGCAAACATTGCCCTATTCGCAACAACTTCAACAGCCCATTCCTCAAGTGCAACTATCACAATCGTTACGTATGCAACCAAAGATATCCACTTTCCAGTTTATGGATGGGGATATGTCAGATCAAAAGCAAATATTGTCACCTCAAAAGAATACAATTGGACTTGATAATGCACCAAGAATTGAAAATGCAAATACTTATGATAATGTGACTAGTTTTGCAAATATCAACTCTAGGATTGAGACACCTGCTCATTACAATCCAACGGCAGTTAATAGAATCTTCACTTCTGAAATTCAGCCTTCCAACCTTACTTCTGTCAACCAAATAAATAACACCAATTCATTTAATACTAACAATTTTAATAATTCCTCCATCTTTCAAGCTGTTCCTGAACGTATTAACTCGTCTTTACCTTCACCTCCTCAACCTCATGAAGTACCACCGCCGATGAATTGGATAAATCAACATCAAAGTCTCCAACAGCAACATGCTCATACTATGGCAATATATGACAATAATATGAATATAAATTGATATATAATTCCATTAAGTTTATTTTTGTGTCTTTACGGGCAAATTTAATAAATAATATTATTGGATATATAAAAAAAAAAAGACCTATTGCGAAAAAAAAGGTTATTGTTATTAAGGTTGCCTGCCGTAATAGGTTTACTAGAGTTGAAAGGTTGCAACCTTTCATCTCGAAGATGTAAGAGTTGTAATAGGTGTAATGGATATAATGATTGTATTGGTCGTAACGGGTATATATGATCTGATTATGCTAATAAGTAATTACGTGACGCAGTCACGCTAAACCAGATATTAGCTATAGATTTATCACGGAATTAAAGAATATGGATTGCTAACTTCAAAAATAAAAAACCAAGAGCGTACGTTAACACATATAGGTTGACATATAGATTGCCAAATAACTATGAGCATATCCAAATACATACTATACATCCTGTGTTACGTAAAAGTATTCTGATTGACTTGCTTATGCAAGTACATAAACATGAGTACTTTCAAAAGAAAACTATGTTTTGATCTTTCGAGTTTATAACTTAACGGACTCAACCTTGAAAAATCTGATTGTAGAATCGATTTTCGTTCACATGTACTGTTATTTGTTATCTATCGTGTTAAATCTGGTAAGCTATTATACGTCTGTAAGGACTCGCAAGACATAGTTATTTATGTTTTTTACGACAATTACAATCTATTACGGTATTTACCAATTACTTACAATTATAACCATTACGACATTATGACAATTATAACCATTATGGCATATTACAACTTTGAGTATTAGTTATAAATAGGGTTGCAACTGTTGCAACCCGAGGTTGTTAATGTCCATAATTGTTACGGCCAGCAACCTTAATTTTTATTATAGGTTATCACGAAATTTTTGGTAAGCACTAGGAACATGGAATCTATTACAAGTCTGAAATATTAATAAAGTTATAGATATGCAATAGTAACTATGCTATTTTTTTATATTTTTTAGTAAGGGAAAACACATTTTTTTTTGAGTAGAATCACGCTAAATACTATAATAATTCGACCAAAGCCTTACACCTTTCGCGTTTCTCTCATTATTATATTTAAATATGATATAGAAAAAAGTAGATAATAGTTGTCCAGAGCGTAGCTGAGAACTCAATTTTATATAAATGTCATACATAATTTTGAATTTCTGTCAGTCGTCATATCATCAGTTTCACGTAATTTATAATAGTTTTTTGCTTCAGACTAATAACATTTTCATTTTCTAGTACAAGTCACTCTCGTTATAGTGAAGTTGTTGGGCTGAAGAATTTTCTTCACTATATCGAGATATTCACTATATTGAAAACTCTTAATATAGTAAAGTTTATATTTAAAATAAAAAATCTTCATTATATCGAGAGACTTTTATATTAAAAATTTTAATATAATGAAGTTTATATAAACTTAAAAATCTTCACTATATCAAAAGAATATTTAAATTGATATAATTGGTTAAAAATATTTTATATCTAAATCTTCACTATATTGAGAGTAAATTTATTATAAATGTACTGTATTTTTTTAAAAAAAAATCTTATATCGAGAGTTTATTATTAAAACTTCATTATATCGAGTGAAACATTAATAGTTTTGGATTTGTTCTTAAAAAAATCTTCACTATAAGCCAATCTTTACTATATCGAAGGTTCACTATAACGAGAGTAACTTGTATAGACATTTTTTTCAAATTTTGAACTTAAAGATCACGTTTTTACAACGAATTATGGACTTATCGTTACACAACATATGTTACTATTATTAATAACTAAAATACTAAAATATATCTGGAGTTCTTTATCGGTATTCAAGCACACTTTCTAATCTAGAAATCTATATATTCGGAATCGCTTTTGAATATCGCAAATGGTCAGAATATTCCTGAGATAATTCTATTCAAAATTTTTTTTTTTTAATTTTTACGGTAATTCTATTCAAATTTAAAAAATTAAGTTTAATATTGTAGTTATAATTTTTTTTACAAAGATATCTTAGAAACGATCTAACCATTCATGGTGTTCAAATTCAATCAAATACAGTATTGCAGTATTGGCGTTTGAACTTTGAAATTTCCGCGACATGTACATGTAGTGTAACCATGTGATAAAGGATCAGCAAAACTTGGCACAGGATTTTGTTCTTAAAATGTACCCAAGTGCAGGCTCTTAACCTACGTATAATCCTAAATAAATAAATTATTGATTTAAAGTACGTAGCTATTGCTATCATTGTAATGTACTAAATGAAACCAATTCAGAAACAGGTACCACAGGTACGGGCTAAGTAACCACAATTTTTGTATCTATTATGTGATAACAAATTCTTTAAAGTTGGAGGAGGACTATGTGTTGGCATAATATATATAAAATTACTTTTCGTTAGAGTACAAAAGGTAATTTCTTATGCAAATTGTTAGAAATACAGTCAGACCTCTCTATAGTCACCTCCTTTATAGTCACATTTGCTTAAAATCACATAAATTTTTAAAACCAACTTATTTAGCACTTATAAAATTTAACCTCTATATAAGCACAAACTCTCTATAAGCACCAAATTTTTAAAACCAAGTGTGTGATTATAGAGAGGTTTGACTGTAGACGATCTAGACGATTTTTAGCAAAACGAACGTTAGTTTGATCATTGGTTTGCATCATACATATCGTTACGTGAAAAATAACTTTTTTTTGGCAACATAACGATGGATCAGATCCTTGCGATAATATCCTGTTTTTAGGTTTAAAAGTAGAGATTTGGTTTTTCAGGCTTAAAAGTAGAGATTTTATTTTAAAAAACAGATGCTATAAATAGTTTATTTTTGTTTTGTTTTTTTTGTAATCTAATAATATTCTAATAATATTTTATTTTTTTTGTAATCTAATAAGAGAAAAAAGCCTACTTTTTAACGTAAGGGAGATTTTTATCCATTCTTAACATAAGTAGATTCTCAATGGTTTTAATATAATAAATAGATAATAGAAAACAAAAACCAAGCTTTAAAGATGACAATTATCGGAACATATTATATGTCCAAATGTTACTGAATTATAACATTCTGGGCAATAAAGTGTACAATCTATTCCACATTCAATAACGCATGAACCAATGTTAAAATTTGAAGTAGAACATTCAGTAAACTTTTCATTATAGCAGCTAGAAATTGTAGTTGTCGGAAAATAACACTCGTGATCGATTCGACAGTTTCCACAAACTTTGGTGCAATTATAAATTTTATCTGAAGCACACGCTGGTGGTGGCCAAGCATATGTCGAAATAGCCATAAAGAAAAAGAATAAAATCATAATAAATAATAGGCATAATTGATTGGATTTCATGTTATAAGAATTATATAAAAAAAAAAAAGATGTGAAATGTGTAGTTTTAACTCTTGATACGTAGTTATGATTTAAAGTTTTTTTTTTTATGAGCTGCAAAGTATTCAAATTGATAGAAACATTAAATTTTAAAGTGGATATCAACAAAGATATGTAGCATATATTATAACGTATTCTAGCAAGAATGATTAATTGCGCTGGATATATGTAGCAATAAAAAGGACGGTATACAAAAGAAGAATTTTTGTCTCATTTATATGTTGCAACCAGTGTTGTTACTAACCTTAAGGCTAGTAGCCTTTAGCCTTAAGTCTAATTGGGCTAAATCCGACAGTTCATATGGCTAAATAACAACACTGGTTGCAACAGCAGAGACCGTTAATGTTACACATATATTAAAACTAGTGAGCATCACAGGAGAGAGGGATTTACTCTATGTTGCATCTGGAGTAGCGATCACTCCAGACGCAACAACTTAAAAAAAGGGTTGTGTATAATGATGACTTTTAAAACACCCAGTATAATTAATTAATTTTTATTAATGATGTCATCCATTAATGTCTCGCCATTACTGAATCAGATGTTGATCTCAGAAATTTTTTATTATTGGAATGGTAACTTACTTGGTTAGCTTATTCGATTTATCGATTTTCTTCCGACAATTGATGTATGATACGGACCTACGTAGCAAAACCATCAAGATCAGTTACAAAATATTGTTCATTCTGCTATACTTCTAAATCATCCAATTTATTTAAATTATTTGAAGCCAATAAAAGACCTTACTAAACGCTTAAATAGGGTAAATGAAAGCAAGAAAGGAAGCGTCGAAAGAAATTTAAGAAAATTGAGTAAAATTAAGTTAATGTTAAACATCGTCAGAATTTTTTCAATCGATTAGTTGGTTAATTATTTTTTTAGTTGACAACTAGTTTAGGGTTGTTAATGGAGGTCTCCGTTGACTCCAGTTTAATAGTGATACTCTGAAGTATTATTATTATATTGCTTTTCAAATTACTAATTTCATGAGAATGTAAATTTTTGTAAATTTTAATGTAAATATAAAAAATTCTAAAAATGAAAAGATTTTTTTTTTCTAAATTATTGCGCTTTTTACACTAAAATCTTCAAAACTTTCTAAATTTACAATTATTTTGCAAATAACCTAAATTTCTTGCCTATAAATAAAATTTTCAAAATTTTACTTTATTCCCGCTTTCCTAATCCTGCACCTAGTAATACACAGGAACTGATTATTGGTATAGCTAAATAGCGATGGGTATCCTAGACTTGTTTTCGAATCAAAATAAATTAAGATTGAATAATGCCAGATTGCTTTTTTACTACATAAAAAAAAAAAAAACAGATAAAAGCACCCATGAAATTACATTGAATAGTATAGGAATTCTGTTTTCCCATCTCTTCCTTATTTTATTTTATTTATTTGTTTAAATTATTTTTTTATTTTCAATTTTATTTATTTGATTTTTATTTTTTTCTAACTACTTTTTGAAATTGTAAGAATACTAATTACAATAAATTACAATACGATATACGAATTATTATACTATAACATAAAAATTTGCAAAACTTTTAAATTTACTGTTGATTTTACGAATTGCTACTTAAAATAAACTTCTAATTTTTTACGATAGCGTAACATTCATTAGTATTTTATAACTAGATAAAGGGTTTAGCTTATTCACTTAATCTTTACAAACCTTGAGCGAAAGTATCTCATGCATGTTGACAAGGGTCAACGGATCGAAAAGAAAGGGAAGAAATGGCCAGGGGCTACACACCACGTGCCA